GGGGGGGGGGGGGGGGGGGGGGGGGGGGGCTGCCCTTTCTCTGGACAAGTTCGCAGTCTATTTTTTAAATTTAGAAAGTACATAAATTAATGTTTATTAGCTCCTGTGAAATAGATATTCGGGGCTTTTACCCCAGACGAAAAATGAATAAGGCGATAGGACGGAGGATGGTGGTAGATGAGGGGGGGGAGGGGAAGACTGGGAACTAGGAAACCGGTCCTGTTCCCCTATGAAAAATGTCTGTATCCGCCACTGCCTTCCACACTGACTTCTTCAGCTACCGACGACGATTTATATGCTGCCCGAGAAAATCTAGCAAAAAAAAAATATGACTCCCACATAATTCAATAGTAAGAAATTGGAGTGGGCCCCGTGGGCCCTTGCACCAGGGCCCATGCCAACCACGCTACGCCACTGTGAGTCCCTCTATAAGCGGACGACGCTTATAGAGCGAAGTCACCAGATTCATCGAAAGGAAACAGGGACGGCTCATCTCCATCCTGAGAGAGCGAGATGCCCTCAAGAAATCCCACTCCATCCATGGAGATGCCACCCGCTTCCGAAATGTACTCCATCTTGATGACGACTGCGACACGACGGATGTGAAGACGGCAGACCAAGTATAAAGAGAGGCAGATGGAAAGAGAAACCGCTTCACGGCCAGCATCCCAAGATCATGGATAAACCATCCATCGACTCGGACGTCAGCTATAACAGGCTGAAGAAGGGACTGTTGAATGCCGAGACAGAGAGCAACATCCTAACCATTCAGGACCAGTGCATTAGAACAAGGGACTGCTGAATGCCGAGACAGAGAGCAACATCCTAGCCATTCAGGACCAGTGCATTAGAACTCGTAACTACGAGAAGCACATCCTGAAGCTGGATGTGGAAGACCGCTGCAGATGCTGTCATGGACCACCCGAAACGGTTCACCACCTCCTCAGTGCCCGCCCCGAACTAGCCCCGAGGGAGTACTTGTACAGGCACGACCAGGTGTGCAAATATGTGCACTGGTGTGTCTCCAAGCAAGCCGGCCTGGAAGTCCCAGAGAAGTCGTACGAACACCAGCCAGAGTCTGTTGTGGAGAACTCCTCCACCAAGATACCATGGGGCATGCCTATAATTACAGACCGCACTATAGGCTGCAATAGACTGGACCTCACGATCTATAAGAAGGAGAGGACCGCCCTTCGTATATATATCTATATATATACACAACCATTACATTCTCGATTATTTCCCTTCAGATGTACCAAATTGGGATCAAGAGTTACCAACAAAAGAATAACAGCAAGTACACAAAAATTGCCAAATACACAGCCAGCAAATGAAATTGGATCACCAAGGAGTTGAGCAATTGTACTTAAGCTTGATACATGTGGTTGAACCAGCATATTATGAAATCGTTCATAATTTCAAGTGTGTGGAATGAGAACTAATGGAAGATAGACTAACCAATCGATCCTATTTCAATTGCAGCTATGTGTTCAAACTAATCACCTGAAATGGTTACCTAGAACCTTTGTACTTGTGAAACGTGGCAGGAAAACTCCTGAAAATGGGTAGTCTGGCAAATCTAGGAAAGTTTTGAGATCATGAGATGAGGCAATTTGGAGAAACTTGTTAATTGCCAGAAGAATTAGGGAAGAGGATGGTGCCAATGAAGGCATCAGTTTCCTTTTCTCTTTCCCTCAAACCAATTCACCATAGAGCTGTTTTAGACTAACTGCAAGATAGTGCCAAGATGAGATGTCTGGAGATAATTTCAAAAAGTTGTTAGTGTGTTTGATCCATGGAGGGTAATTGTGATGCATGTGTCAGCTTCATTCATCAGGCTGATGCATGGTAAGTTTCACAATGACCTTCCATGCCTACCTTGTTGAACATTTTAAAATGCAGAATGGGTTATTGATCTTTCCAGATTCTTCCAACCTTGATCCAAACTCTGGCATGCTGATGCCTGAACCAAAAATCTGTTCTGATGAGGAACTGGCCAACATGATTGATGCAATACTTAAGATGGATGACCATAATAGGAATGGAATCATTGACTATCCAGAGTTCATTCAAGCCCAAGAAGCTGCTACTACCCAAGCCAAGAACTAAATGGACTCATGTTGTGCTTTTTTTTTAAGTTAATGCAATCTCATTGTGGTCAGGTTTCCTTTCCAGTATATGTAGAAGATGTGAGCTGACATTATTCCAATTTTTCTGGGTTTTTTTTTGCCATATGTGGTGGTTTTTATTATTATTATGCATGCCTCCATTGGGATAATAAAGAAATTAAATAATATTTTAGCATTGAAGAGTATCCCAGTTTCATTGCATTATTTTTGAGTAGACAAACAATGAAGCTACTCTGATTATAGTTTAGGGGGCATTTTATGAATTAGTGTTCAGCTGTAATATCTATTTGGAAAATTTGCTATTGGAATTTCAGGGATACTGGCTTCATTTATGTGGAAAAAGTTATGTGAATTTTCTCATGCTGGAGTGGTTCTGCAACAAGCAAATACCTAACTGTAATTGCAATCTGCATTAAGCTGAAATGCTTCTATTTCTTACTTGATATGAACTTGTAAAATGTGGATTACTCTCAGTTTGGTTCTGATTGTATCTGATTTGTTAGGTGTCAATAAATGCAACACCAATGAGAGCATGTCTGATTGTAATTGATGTGATAAGCTTGACTGAGCTTCAACTTCAAGCTTCAACTAGCTCAATTTAAGCTGCCTTTTTTCTTTTTTCTTTTTTTTTTATTCATTAGGGATTTTTCAGGGAGGCAGAATTTTAATTCATGTCAAATCTAGAGTACATAGGCCATAATTTGGGATTTTTCAAATATGAAATATATTTTGCTTAAAACATTTGCATCATAGAACTATCTAATAGGCAACAAATAAGTTACTTGCATGAGATCTTGAGCTCTGAGGCATCCAAAGACTAAAAGCATGATTAAATATTTAAAAAAGCATTCCATGTAAAAGTAATACTACTTGACATTCACATTTTAAACCTTTAAAATAATACCACGAAGAAGATAGCTTGTCTATGAAGGGGCAAATATCGGGATTCAAACCCCCCCTCTTACAGATCTTCAAGCCTCCTCCTCAAGTTGAGAATTGGAGGAAGATGAGCAGAAGTCTATTCTTCTTCCTTCAGGAGGGTAACCATCCTTCCTATATTTCTGTCAACAGGCGCAATTTCGCCCCGTTCCCTCTTAATCTCACCGTGCAAATGTAAAGGCTGTGGTCATTCCGAACAGAGGCTTTCTTTAGTAACGCAAGACTCCCTATGAACAGAAAATGGAAAGTGAAGCGTTCTGGGGGAGAGGGGATCTCACCTTCTGGCCCTTTTTTATTTCTGTTCCATTCGCGCCCCTGCATTGTGATCAGAGACACGTGGCATTGAAGGCTTCGAGCACGTGGTATGCTAGGCACTTGCGCAGTTACTGTAGTCCAGAGGAGCCACCAATCCAAACTTCGTACGACAACGTCCAATGGACCACTTCTGACGAGCATGGCTGCCCGCACGAAGTTCCAGGCACGGTTTGTGTTTTGTGAGTGTTATGATTGCTCCGTTCCCTCTTTATGGTCAATTACAGGCCGTCTGAAATCGTTAAAAATCAGGTGTTTCCTTAACCTCGTTGCTTCCCAATTTTCGATAACAGGGTGTGTTTCGTCACGTAGCTCACTGAAGTGTGAGAGAGTTAGGTATTTGACCTTTTGGAACGACCCCATGCCTACGGTGAATGAACAGAACTAGCTCAAGGTTGGGAAGGTGTGAAACGCTATAGACTTTTCAGCTTCTGAGAGACTCATATCAGCGTTTAGGTCTGGGTCATCGTGTTCGGCCTATATGAGATCTCCAATTCGTTCAGGCCTAGGCAGGATGGGGCGTTTTGAAAATATGTCGAATCATGAATAGTTCCATTTCAGAGGCAACTCGCTTCACTGAAAAAACCGGTTTTAGCTTGGAGACATTGATATGTAGAAAGTGGTTTGCCATGCAGAACCTGATAGTACTGGCCAAGCTGAAGACTCTTCTTCAGATCTGATAGGTTTAGACATAACATAACAGAAGCGGGGTTGTTTTGGACTTCAGTAATGAATTTTGTGAAATTTCTTGAGCAGCCAGAATGAATTTAATGTGGAAGGCTCTATGCTTAATGGAAACAAAAAAGTATGGAAGCATTTTAGCATTGTATTGATTGGAAGTGCTCTGTGATAACTCCTATACATAGAATGGCTATTGTAATATGGTCAATTGAATTCTGTAATTTCGGTGAATTTTGAGACAGAGCATTAGGAGTCGGCTGAAGGGGAGCACACCTACTGTATCCAAGGCAGAAAGAGTTACTCAGGTTTGATGGGAATGGTAACATGCTTCAAGAGTAAGACTAGGCCTAGGCCTAGTCTTGTAATCTTAGTATAGCTATACTGCATTGGACAATATTCTTGAATGGTTCAAGGAATAGTTGGTGTGGTTACCCATAGTAGTATTTCTTTATCTAGAAATGATTCTGTATTGAATTGTTTGAAAATAGCCACATTTGGAAGCCACAAGATATATAGTCCAAGCTCACAAATGCTATGCCCAAGACACAGTAGCTGCTGAATTTTCCCAAATCAGTTAAGTTTTTTTTTCTTAAAGACAGGACCTGTGGCAGAAACAAACAACAATGAACATATTAGGGAACACAGAGAGGAAGGGTGTACTTGCGTACCAAATCAGTTATCTTGAGGCTCAATGCCAGGTTTTTTATCCTTCAAAGGATGCTGCCAGGATTTGCTTATTTTTATTCTGCAAAATAGTATCACTTCTGGAAGACAGCCATTTTGTGAACAGGTCTGGTATGCTCAAAAAAATTTGTGTGCACCCCTTACCTGGATTGCCATTTTTTGACCTAATGTAGACCTACACCAGACCCAAGTGTAAGCCATAAACTATGCTTACTTAGGATTTAGTAGATCACACGGGGAACCATACTGCCTTATAGCAAGGGTGCCTCAGTATATTTTAAATTTAGATTAATCTTACTGCTATTGGAGGGTTAGACCTAATTTATGCCTAGATGTGCAGCCAGAACTCAGTATTATCAGTTAGTAATTTTGAGTCTGACTTTGTAATTTCACAGTTTTTTTCATTTTTGATATTCTGGTTTTCTGTAGTTATATTGGTGGGATGAAAAAAAAAGAGCTTTTGTTTGTAAAATGACAAACCCTGGTATTGAACCATGATGCTAAAAATAAAAAGCTAAAATTTTAGTCTCTTGTATTCTTTTTTTGTGTTTCACCTCTATTTTAATCACTGGGAAATTGTCATTAAACTGGAAATCAGTGTAACCACAGGTATTTGATAGAGTAAGCCTACCTGACAGTTCAACCCCCCCCCCCCCCTCTAATTTCTGCAAGAAAATGTAATTGTGTATTTTGTGCAGAGATATTGCTGTAGGTATTGGCTGTTGATAACACTGTCATTCATTTCACCCTTAGGAGTAATGCTGTTACTTTTACAGAAAAAAATCCTATGGATGAGTTCTTGTACTCCCTTTCTGCCCTAAAAGACCTTTTAGGTCCATGCCAGTGTAGGACTAAAAGCCCGTTAGCAGCTAAAAGGGAGTACAAGAACCCACCCTAAATGATTTAGGTGAAATTTTGCATTCCCTGACCCCACCCTCAGTTGCATCTATAGGTATCTACATTTCATTTTGGTGAAGTTGATGATTTGATGCAATTAATGTGAGATTCTACAATGAGTTAGGTTTTCTGACACAGCTTGGCCTTTGTATGAAATGTGAACTGTTCTTTGGCTGATTTCCAAAGTGCAGTCCAGTTTTAGTTCAGTTGCAGTTCCAGTTGGGATTTTGTTATGTGAGTAGTTGCTTAGACCACAGTGGAACTTTGGTCAGACCAAAGTCTGAACTGAAACTAGAACTGAACTGCCATATCTTTGACTGTAACTAAGGATTCTTGCTATCCTGGTCAGTTCATTATGGATCCAGTCTTTGGGAGTGTTCATGTTATGCGTAGATTCATATTCAGCCTTCAATGGGACACTGATCACTTCATCATCTCATGAGCCTGAAAGAGCCTCACAAGACACCCCTCGAAAATAATTCCTGGCTACGTTCCTGGATCCATACAAGTCATTTTAAATGCTCCTGCCTTCTTAACCCTTTGCAGTTCTATGCCAAGTATACCATGACAATTCAGAGAGGATTGAAGAAATTGGTACATAAAATTTTAAGTGATTCAGATTCTGGGTCACTTTTTTTCCTTGGGGTTGCTCAAATCAGCTTCCCATCTCTCCTTCTCATGTGTGCTCTTCTGATAGAGTTGATAGAAGAGTCAGTGCATGAGAGTGCTTGTTCTTTCATGTTCAATATTACTTCATCTGGAAGTATTTTGTAATGTTTCCCTTCATCCATGAGCATTTCTTTTGCTAAATTGTGAAAACTAATAGGCAAAACAAAAAAATTTTTCCATGGATCATTGTATGATATTTGAGTTATATTTCTTCATCAAAATCTCATTCCAGATAATATCAGAGTCCTAGTTGTCAGTTTAAAGCCTCCTCATAAGCAGAAGTTACATACTTTACAGGACTATTTGAAGTTTTGGAGTTTGCCATTTAGCTTGATGCTCTCTAGCCTTCCCATCATTGATGGCGAACATTGGAGATATGCATTTGCCATCAAAGAGGAGATTTTTTTTTACTATGAGGAGAGTTTTAATATAGACTTGGTTCCTGTGCATTTCCCCTTTATAAATGATTAGGCCTGAATGCAGAAACCTCTAGTATACAGTCCTTTTAGAATAAATGGAATCCTATAAGGAAAAAAGCTGTAGCTTTGAGGCCCTTTTATCTATCCCATATGAGTTTTGGAGTTTGACTTCGGCAAATAGGCAAATCACAGAAACATCCAAAATGTACATTTCAGTTATCAGTGATGGGACTGAAAATGTTATACTATATTAGGTGTCATATTCATATGGTGTAAGTTTTGAGGAAGCCTCTTTATGTCTTCTCTTCCTTTCTACTAGAGCAGTCTTTGAAATATGCAGTTAGGAAGATTATGATCTATCTCCACTTCAGGTGTTTTATTTGTTGGCAATTTTTTTTATTTATTTCAGGGAACTAGATAATCTCATATGTTGCACTCATTCATCACTGATGTAACCCAAGGAGAATTGACTGTCATAAGGAACTAGGGGCATGGACATAAAATAGCATAGGATGACATGAAGGATTATAATTTCCATATGGAAATCGTTGAAGGACTGCTTCCACTCAGTTTACTGAGCCAAGGATATAATATGTTGATATGCAAGTGTTGATATTGATTACATGGATAAACTTGGTGTCTGCATATTCTTGCCAGTGAAAATGCAGCAGAGAAATTCTTCTCTGCTTGTGTGGACATTCTTTGTGATTTTATGTACTCATATTGTGCTCAAGAACGCCTTGTGTGTTGAGGTGAAGGACCACAGTGATTCCAATGAAGAGGAATCTGACAGTGAGATATTCATTGCTGAAGATGAAGAGGACTCAGATGAAGTGTCTCAATCAATAGGATCTCAGTCGCTTCCAAGACCAACACAACAAGAATTACTTGAGCATTTAGAGAGAGTTGAGCAGTTATTGGAAAACATAGAATTGTTAGGGTTGGACACCAATATTTTAGGTATTGATGATCCTCGACATGGATACAAAACTGACAGGGAAACACATAGACCTAGTCAAAATGAAGATGAGATGGAGGAAGTTCTTCACAAGAATGGAGAGAAACAGGAGCCTAGGATTCAAGTCAGGTTGTCCTCTTCTATACCTGGAAAAGGTAGGATTGAGAGGACATCAGAAAACCAAGAAGGAGTAAATGAGGAATTGGGAGAAGATGTTGCAGGAGGAGATAGTGAGGAAAAGTATGGAAAGGAAGATGGTGATGACATTGAGAAGATCAAAGCCAAAGGAATTGAAGATTTGAAGAATGCCATATTTAACAATTTTGGTGATAAGTTAGAAGATGCCATGAAGTCTCTGGTGAATTCTGGTCTTGTTATGGATTTTGATGTGAAAGCTAAGATGGGATCAGAAGAGGAAGATATCAACTTGGATGAACCTATTCCAGTAGAGAAACCAGAAGAGGAACTCACAGATGAAGAGAAGCAAGGTATGAGTTTAGTGATTTAAGTAAAAGAAATTACTGCACTAAATACTATAAGCAAAAAAAAATAATTTAGAGTTTGGGTCTTGTAGCAAAGCATCTATATGAGACTGGTATGAAGCTGATGGGAAAATCCAGGAACCGCAAGGTGCAAGCTTATGAAGCCCTGAGACAGGCAGCAGCATTAAATCATGCAAAAGCAAGAGAGCAGTATGCATGGGCTCAGGTCCTTTGTGATGTTGACCAGAATATCACAGCTGCAATGCTGACATTTCAGGAACTGGCAGAGAAAGGGAGTCCCTCTGCCCAGATGGTAATATTGATTTATTCCTGAAATACCTTGTATTTTGTGTTAGAGATAAGGAAGAGTCTATATGGTTAATACTGTTTTTTTTTTTTTTCAGGCCCTTGGATTCATGCATGCAACAGGAGTTGGGTTGGCACCAAGTCAAGCCAAAGCATTGGTTTATTACACATTTGCAGCAGCTGGGGGGGATCCATGGGCACAGATGGCCCTTGGTTATAGGTACTGGTCAGGGATTGGAGTCCCAGCATCCTGTGAAAGTGGGCTTATGAACTACAGAAGAGTTGCTTCTTCAGGTACAATGCAATTTTTATTTTGCCTGAGATCTGTGCAATGCACAAGTTTTATCACTAATGATTTCATTCTCTGCTATCTCCTCACAGTTGCTGATGATGTGAGTCTGACAGGTGGTCCTGTCATCCAACGCATCAGACTTCTGGATGAATGGGAGAATCCAAGCTCAAATATGGGACTTCTTGATGAGGACCTTCTTCAGTATTATCAACTTCTTGCTGAGAAAGGAGATGTGCAGGCTCAAGTTTGTATTTTTACTGCAATTAATATAGGATGCAGGATATTATATTTCACTTTATTTATTGTTATCAACAAGTGCTTCATCCTGCCATTTTCTCTTCAGCTGGGGCTTGGACAGTTGTATTTTCAAGGGGGAAGAGGAGTTGAACCAGATCCTTTCAAGGCCTTGGAGTACTTCACAGCTGCTGCTGATGCAGGGAATGCCAATGCACTGGCCTTCCTTGGCAAGGTGAGTGAAAGTTCCAAGTATAAAAAGAAATGTTTTCAAATTGATAATAAAAGGTAGTCTTCAATTGTTTTGCTATATGTGCAGATGTACTTGGAAGGAAGTGATGCTGTGAAACAGGACAATGATACAGCATACAAGTATTTCAGCAAAGCAGCTGAGATGGGGAATCCTGTAGGACAAGGAGGGCTTGGTCTCATGTATCTCTATGGCAAAGGAGTGGAGAAAAACTATCACAAGGCATTCAAGCACTTTGTTGAGGCTGCTGAGCAAGGCTGGGTTGATGGACAACTCCAGCTGGGCAAGATGTACTATCGTAAGTGTCTTCATCTCACCTCATTGTTATGGCTATGTCAATAGCCCAAAAACTTGTGTACAGATATCCCAAAATGGGTTCCTTTTCTTGACAGATGGCCTGGGTTTACGAAGAGATTACAAGATGGCCATCAAATACTTCAATCTTGCATCTCAGTCAGGCCATCTTCTGGCTTTTTATTACCTGGCTCAGATGCATGCAACAGGAACAGGGATGATGCGATCCTGTCACACAGCTGTGGAGGTAGTAGTTAAGGATTGAATATTTGAATGCCAATGGTTATTGTAGTCAGAAATTATTCCCTTCCCATTCCTAAAATAATTACCTGTGCTTGTGATCACACAGCTGATGAAGAATGTGGCTGAGCGAGGCAAATGGGGGGAAAGATTGATGGAAGCTCATTTGGACTATCGTGATGGTCTTGTAGACCGTGCCCTGCTTAAATACATGTTCCTAGCTGAGTTGGGGTATGAAGCTGCCCAGAGCAATGCTGCTTTCATCCTTGATCGAAGTAAGTCTGCTTATTTACTCTTTCTTGTGCATCAACCATGGGAGTCTTTGAGTCTGCATAATACCTCTGCAATAGTTTTGAATGATTCAAATGTGGCATTGCAGTTTGCATTATTTTTTATGCAGAAGAAAGCATATTTTTTCGAGAGGAAGAAGTCTGGCCAAGAGCTCTGATATATTGGAGCAGGTCAGCAAGTCAAGGCTACTCCTTAGCAAGGGTGAAACTTGGCGACTATCACTACTATGGACATGGAACAAGGGTGGATTATGAGGCTGCTGCTGCTCAGTATCGCCTGGCCTCAGAGCAACAGCATAATGCTCAAGCCATGTTCAACCTGGCCTATATGTATGAAACAGGACGAGGCCTCAAACAAGTGAGTTTTTTTTTTGTTCTTTGTCTCATCTCTCACTTCACTTTCTCTTCAGTGAATTGTCTTCCACTCATGACTTCCATCTTTCTAGGATATTCATCTGGCGAAGAGATTCTACGACCTAGCAGCAGAGACTAGTGCAGATGCTCAAGTACCTGTTGCTCTTGCTCTCATCAAACTCTTTCTTCTCTTTGCTTTCACCAAAATTAAAGATGTGAGTTAGAGTTCTTGATTGGAAGTGAAGTTAATCTCCTGAAAAAGAGGTATTGATGGTGTTTTGACCTTTCAGTTTGAGTTCAGTGTGCCTTGGAACATCCAGTGGAGTGGTAGCTTGAGTCGCAGCCTGGGACCTGATTGGGACTTGTACCTCATGACCACACTCTCCATTCTCCTGGGACTTGTCATATATCTCCGGCGGCCTGTGCAGGGCTAGGAAGTCTTTTTTTTTTCTTAATTCCCTTTCCACATGGTTCCTCACACATTTACAAACCAGTAGGTCTTCTTCTAATTTCCATTTTCATTTATCTGGCAGCATTTCTTCCTTCTCATAGTCCTGTTGCTTTCTTTTTGATTCTTGTTTGCTGTGATATGGGGAAATGTCAGAAAGGTCCCTTTGATATAGGAGGAAAAAAAAGAAAAAAATTGGGTGAGAATATGTCTTGCTCTTTTTACTAAGATTGTTCATTCCATGCCTTTGGAACATGGAAAGAGAAGTTTAGTGCTTTGTGACCTATTTATATGCAAAGGGAATGAATAAAAATGGATGTATACTTTTTTCAAATACATTTCCTTTCTTCGTGTGATACATAAATTGTTTAGAGGAGAGCTAGCAACTTGTTTCAGAGCACAGGAAGGGACAACAAACCAGATGAGGACAAATCTTGTCTGGTCAGAATGGAAGGGGACTGCTAAGATGGCATGTCCACAAGGGTTTGCTATCCCTTGTCTATGTCTTTGTTCCTGTGACTTCCGGTTGTTCCATACATTTCATCATGGAACATGAAGTTGCATCTGTTCAAAGTAGTTAAGACATATCCAGACCCTCACACTTATTAATACAGGTTTTCTCTTTGAACAAAGTTCATTCCAAAGGTAAGAAGCAGAGATGGCAGGCCTCCAAGTGCGTGACCTGCAGGAGGTAATGAAATGTCACCTCTTTAAAGATGAGAGTGAGAAGTCAAACACTTCAACTGATCAGGTCTGGCATTTAAAATAATTGTATTCAGATTGCCTGGTTAGTTTAATGCCATAATGGTTTTGAATTAAATTCCACTCTAGGAAGATGTTGAGGGTCATGTGCGGAAGTGTTTTGAGTGTTATCTGAAAGATGAGAGTTTGTCCCCACCAGGACCAACTCTTCATTGTGACCTCCATGCTCATTACCTTCGTAAAGGTCTTGTTCATCTCTCAACATCATACGAAGTGAGTATTCTTTTGATTTCTACCATCTCATTTACTTCCATGATTTTTGAAACATCTGCGTTATTTTTTTCATTGTAGTGCTTGGATGCAAGTCGCCCTTGGCTTGTTTATTGGATCGTACATAGTCTGGATTTATTGGACCAGCCAATCCCAGATGAGCAGAAGACCCATATTGCAGAATTCCTTGCTAAGTGCCAGCATAAAGATGGAGGTTTTGGTGGAGGACCTCAGCAGCTCCCTCATTTGGCTGCAACATATGCTGCTGTCCTGGCACTGTCTGTCCTAGGAACAGAAGAGGCATACAATGTCATTGACAGGCATGGCTTCAAAGCATCACCCTTGTTTCTTTCCTGAGTCCAAGACAGTAAGAGTGAGGATCCTGTTAATATAGGGCCAAGCTACGTAAGTTCCTGGAGAGCATGCAGCAGGGCGATGGCAGCTTCACAGTGCATGAAGGAGGAGAGGTGGACATCCGTGGTGTCTATTTGGCCCTCTCAGTTGCCAAACTCACTAATGTGTATTCTGATGATCTCTTCCTTGGTACTGCAGAGTGGGTTGCAAGGTACTATTGTATGTTATTTTTTTATTGCCATATGGGTGTTATGGGCTTTTCATATTTTCTTTACTTTCATTTGACTTTTCCAGTTGTCAAACATATGAAGGGGGGTTTGGTGGGAACCCAGGAGTGGAAGCTCATGGAGGCTACACATTTTGTGGCTTGGCCACTCTCAACCTCCTGAACAAGACCAACCTTGCTGACATTCGTGCCCTCCTGGTGAGATAAGCCTCTATTCTTGGATTGTGCTGAAAGTGCAAGGTTCTTGGGAATGTTTGTTCTTTTTTTTTGTTCCTCTTACCACAAGTAGAGATGGGTAAGCAACAGACAGATGCAGATGGAAGGTGGTTTTCAAGGTCGAACAAACAAGCTTGTTGATGGATGTTACAGCTTTTGGCAAGGAGGTCTCTTCCCCCTTGTTCATTCCATTTTGTCTCAAGAAGTAACTGGTAAGTTTGAACCCATGTGTTCTCATAATGTAGTATTATTTTAGTTGCACCATATGGCATATTCCATAGACACAGTGATAGAGAATCGATCAAGGTGGCTGTTTCATCAGGAGGCCCTGCAAGAGTATCTCCTTTGCTGCTGCCAGAGCACAACTGGGGGACTCATCGATAAACCTGGAAAGTCTGTCCAGTCAACTTTCTCTGCCTCCTCCATCAATATTTACGTTTTAAAAAATGATAGTCTTCATGTATCTTTATTCGACAGGCATGCAGATTTCTACCACACTTGTTATACCCTGAGTGGCTTGTCAGTGGCACAGCACTTTGCAGCTTGTGGAACTGGCCACATCTATCGTGTTGGACCATCTGTGAACGAACTTGTGAGTTCCTTTGGGATGATTGAAGTCAAGTCAATGAATACAAGTCATTTTTGTTATTTGATGCTCTCTCCCTTTTGTGCAGACTCCTGTTCATCCTCTATACAACATCAGCGTTCAGGCAGCAAATGATGCCATTCACTACTATCAAAAGTTGCCCTCAGTTGTGCAGGCATCTGGACAACCTGCTGAATCAGGAGACACCTCTTGAGTTGCCCCAGATTGACCATTGTCAAAGGTCTGCCATGCCTTCCATGGTCTCTAATCTTTAAGTTCTCAAAATATGCTATTCTAATGTTTCACAATTCTCTTTGTAGGGATGAACCCTTGCAATAAAAATGCGACTCTTTTCGCTCAAGAAATGTTTATCTCCTTTTGCCTTGCAAGACTAAGAATGCCATTGCACTCAGACTAGCATTATTATACTGGATGTCCAATCTAAAATTATTTGCCGCTTATGCAACATATAGCATAACTCTTTTCTTTGTAATGATTTCTATTCATTCTCTGAACATGCCAAGATTTTTGTTCGTTTTTCTCGATCCATTTTACTACGTTATATTTTTAAAATGCTTGCATTTTATATTTATGCTAAGAAGTGTGTTGGTAGGAAAGCAGCTGGTGCATGTTCTCACCAATTTTGGGATAGTGCTCTTAAATCAGTCCGTGAAAATGCACTGAGGTGTAGTGTTTAAAGCCTGCTGGTAAAGGATGGGGCAGGGTATGATTTCGCTGGAATGTTCTGGTAGTCTGGTAGGGAGTGAAATAAATTCATTGGTTTGTGAACTGCAAGAAGCTGGTTCATCGCGGCAGGAAAAGAGGGAGCAGTAGACCAAGATTAGCTCGAACTGAAGAGAGGTGTATTCATGTCAAAGAGGCACTTATTCCTCGAGATAGAAATTTCGGGACACGAAGCCCCAGCTACAAATAGCAAGAGACATCGGAGTGAGTCAAAGGTCGTCTGTTCCAACAGTTTCTCAAGTGCAGAGGGAAAGATGTCTTCCAAAATATTGTCACTCCTTGACAGCGCTTGTCAGTGTCCCAATGGGAGCCCAGAAATAAAATTCAAATTGCTTTAGTGAAATCGGTCGTGTAGTACGACGGCTGGAGATATACTGACAAAAGTAGTGTGTTTAGGGGATAGGTAAAGGTAGATACATATTCTTTAAACATGGTCTTATTTGCGGTCTCGTGAACACCAAAGAATTTTGGCGGCTTTTTTTCGCCACATCCAGTGTTATTATATAGGGTGGGGCAAAAGTCAGGGAACACAGGAGTTTTGAGGGAATTAAATTTTCTACTACTATTCATTTAATTTTCCTTTCTGTCTAACATTTCATTAATGACCACAGCTCTCAACATCCCACGCGTTGATTGTTGCGGACACTAGGGCCAGAAGTGCCGTTTGGTCGGCTTCTCCTATTGTGTCCATTTCTTTTTTTTTTTGCATCGAGAACACTGCCGGTTGCCCGGAATTTTGCTATAAAATCCGCAATACAGTAGATCGGCAGTCTTGGCTTACTTGGGTGTCTTTCATGATAATCGCACTAGTTTGCCGTAAAGTGTTATCTGTTTTTGCGTAAATCATCACCAACTCCATTTTTTCCGGTTTAATACTCTATTGTTACGTTATTTCGCAACACTCAGTGAAAAATCACTTCCAAACGTCGTCCGTCAAATTATGGCAAAGTTGTGCACACTCAAGCATGGAGGTCACCAAAATGATCAGCAACGGAAATGAAACAGTATCACCAAAATTTCCATGTTTGTTCCAGGTGAGAAACGGTCGTTCATTTCCAGCCAATTTGAGTGGACGCAGGGGAGCACTCTTCACTGGACTTCAATTATTGTTTGCCAAATTGATGAAAAAGAGATACAGAAATGTGCTGCCATCAAGCAGTCTTTTTGAAAATGAAATTCTCCCAAAATTTCCTATGTTCCCTGACTTTTGCCCCACCCTGTACAACAAAAGAGAAAGTTGAGTGCTCAAGAAGCAGTGCGGAGTAAATACGCGTCCACATCTCATCGATTGTCTTGACACGAATTCTGCAAGAGTTATATGCTGTGTCCTGAATCACAGATGATGAGAGCACTGAATCCCGACCAAAGGTATTAGATAAGACTATTACCTGCTTGAAAGCACAGGAGAACGTTGCTCTTTGTTAGGAAGGGGGGAAGTGAAAGGACAATGTTTCAAGATAGTAACAGTTACCAGAGAAAAGCTAAGTATCAATCTGAAACAGTGACGGCTCGTGATATGCAGCAATAGAAGTCCATTAGGAGAGACAGGGGAGGCCCGCCTCCTACTGCTGCATATTATGATCTGCATTGATGTAATTTTGTTATCCCCCCTAATTGCCGAATGAATTGAAGAAAGAGGAATGGGCGGCGGCAAGGGGGCACAGTAAGTCTTACATCAATTCTTAATTCAAGTGGCTTTTTCATGAAGAGAGTTAATTAGAAAATCGCTGCGTAAGTTTTCTTCCTTCGCCAGTGGTGGACTTACAATCGTCATGATAAGTTCTACTGCAGCCTAGGAACATGACTGCAAAAACAAAAGGGCTTCTTAGAGCAGTATGTTGGCCATGGTTTTCATATGCTGAAAGAAATTAATATACAGGGTGTTCCATAAGTCTGGAATTACAGGGAGACACTTATTTAATGCTTAAATTCATTTAGAGAATGCCTTCGAAATGATAGCCGTTCTGTCGCCGACTAACATTGAGGCACTTCTGCCACTCTTCCTGCACGCTTCTAAAAAATGCTCGTTCGAAGTTTCCTCAAGGAACTGCTGTATGCTCAAGATTTCCAGCGTTACATATTTTAGCTACTTCACTTTGACTTCCCGAATCATGTACCAAAATAATATTCGCTCTTGCAACATTTTGTTTAAGGCCTCTGTTTCAATTAAACATTTCACAAAAATAAAATGACCAAAAATTTAAAAATGACATTTTCCCAAGATTCCAGATGGCATACTCGCATTACAGGGTGTTCCATTAAAGCGCGACGCATTTAATTTTGCAATAACTTAGAATTGGTAATTCATCGACTTGTTTCTAGCGTCTCCGCTTGGGTGGCCAAGGCGATGTCGTCCTCGTAAATAAATTCCCGGAATGATGTCTCTGGTGTACAGGTTAAAGAGCACCGGTGCGAGGACAGAACTTTGGGGGAGTCCATCGTTCAGATTTCGCCTGCGGTCGGTCTTCTCACTAAGGGATACACAAAAGTTGCGGTTACTCAGCAACGCGGTGATCAGGGAGACGGTTAGCTGGCATCTTTGCCAGGTTCAGCAGGAGGCCTTTCCACCAGACGGTGTCATATGCGGAAGGAAGGTCAATGAATGCTGCTCCTGTTTTTAGTTTGCGCTGAAAACGCAAAGACACTAGAAACAACAGAACGGACCCTCGAAAAGGACCTTCGGACGCTCGAGGGATATTTCCGCACCTGGCGCCTCAAGCCTAACGCGTCGAAAACGTCTGTCTCTGCCTTCCACCTCCACAACTCCGAGGCCAGAAAAGCGCTCAGAGTGAAGTTTTGTGGAAGTCCGCTGACGCACGAAAATATATCCCGCGGTACCATGGAGTCACTCTGGATAGGACCCTCAGCTACCGCCAACACCTTGAAAGCACCGGAAATGAGACGGGTTCGAGGGTAAACATCATGGGGAAGCGACGCTCGAACCCCTGTTCGTACAGGGGTTCGAGCACGTAATGCTTCGAATCCTAATGCTCATAAAACTTCGAGTGCTCGTACATCGACCCTTGCTCTTGTGTTATCGACAGCGGAGTTTTGCGCGCCCGTATGGAGCTAAAGCGCACACACCCGGCGATTCGACGCACAAATCAACGCCGCTATGAGATTGGTAAGTGGAGCCCTGAAGTCCACGCCGCTCCCCTTGGCTACCGGTGTTACCAAACATCGCTCCTCCCAGCGTCCGAAGAGAAACGGCCGTTCTACGAGAGTACGGAAAAATCACGGCCGATCGTGACCTCCCGATACACCAGGACATATCCCGGTCCCCAGCACTGCGCCTCAAGTTCAGAAACCCCTTTTGGATCCACGCCTCCGCCCTGTCATCAAGTGGATGGATGCCGACTGCCGATTGCGCGAACAGTGGTCTGCAGCAGCAGTGCCAAACAAGACCCTAATCGAAGATCCCACCGTGGAGCTTCCAGGGTTCCCTTTGAAGCGGAGACACCGGACCGCCCTCAACCGTATTCGGACAACGCACGGCAGATGCGGTCACTTACTAAATAAATGGGAAATCAGGGATTCACCTAACTGCGAATGCGGCGAAGTATTGACCATGAGCCACATCGCCGACCATCAGGGGCGCAACCAAGGGGGGGGATCAGGGGGTCTGAACCCCCCCCCCCCCCCAATTCCCTGCTCTTGATGGTATTTCTCTACTTCCTCCTCTCCCCCGAGGGTGGTGGACGCAGAAAGATATCATGAACAAACGACCTAAGAACGAGGCTGGAAAAGCACATAGGCGGTGGAAGGTGAAGGTCACGCCAGTTACATTTAGCAACTCACTTTAGTAAAGTGAGCCTGTCAAGGAAATGTCCTGCACATAAGCCGCTACTAAATTTTTTTCTATAAACGGAAGGACGACAATTCAAATAAAAGGCGTGAATCGTACAGGTTAGTGAATTTCCAGTTGCACTTCAGCGCAGTGATATTTGGGCTGAATCCCGAAATTAATTTAGTTAATTTTAAGCTTCGTCAGATATCGAATGTGCTTTCATCATTTAGCGTTCAAATTGTTTCCACCATTTCATAACATTTTTCTTCGTTTCATTTTCTTCGTTCGCGTGTTGGCGCCGTTTCGCATTTTTGTTGAGTATATCTCTCCTGATGATTTGATAACATCTTCTTGCATTCGGAGACGTTTGAAAGACAGGTGATGTGAACTTCGAACCCCCCCCCCAAACTTTAGGGCTGGTTGCACCACTCCCGGCCATAGTCCAATTTACGCGTTTCCTGGAAGGACTCAAGCAATCCACCAAACAACCCCGGACGTTATCAATTGGCTGTCAAATCTCAACATACTGTTCTAATTTTATATATTTCCCCCTTCCGTTGCTTTTCAAGGTTCAAGGTTGTTCAGTGGTATCAAGAGGCGAAAAAGCCCATTTGGACACCACGTGTCGAGGTCGAGGGTTCCTTAATTTTAGGGTAGGCCTACTCATCTTAAAGCTACATATTTTTGTATTTTTGTGATTAATTTTTTTTTATTAAAAATTTTTTTTTAGCATATCCTAGTTGCTTGCTACCTAGTCCCTTCGGTCAACATTGCTCCCCTTCTTGCTTGTCCATAAAAACCTCTAGTTTCTTCCTGAAAATAGTCACGGAAGGGGCAGCCACCTCGTCGTCGTCTAACGCATTCCACGCGTTCACCACTCTACAAGTAAAAAAAATCCTGTCTCAATTGAGCCGCACCCGCGGTTTACGCAGCTTGAGTTGATTACCTCTCATTCTCTTGCTGCCATCAAACTGGAAGAGCCTACCACACTCGACATGATCTTTTCCTTTAATTATCTTGAAAGCCTGGATGATATCGTCCGTCCTTAACCTTCTCTCGAGCGAGTACAGTCCCAGCACTTCTAAACGCTTCTCGTACGGAAGTCCCCTAACCTCCTTTATCATTCTTGTAGCCCTCCTCCGTACCCCCTTGAGCGCCAGCAAATCGCCCTTATTTGTAGACCTCCAAAACTGGATGCAATATTCTAACTGGGGTCTTACCAGCGCTGCACACAACGGAGGAATAACGCGCGAACTCCTACTTGCAACCGAACGACGAATGAAACCTTGAATCCTGTTACATTTGGTCACCGTCGCTTGCGCGTGCGAGGAAAACTTGAGGTCTTCCTCGAGAGAGACTCCTAGATCTTTCTCTCCATTTGCCTCCCCCAATTTATCCTCGGCAAACGCGTCGAGAGACCTACCGTTATTTCGACCGACGTAGAGAACTTTACATTTACTTTTATTAAACCTCATGAGCCATTTCTTGCTCCACTCATCCAAAAGACTCAAATCTCGCACGGCTCTAGCCCTATTCGCCTCCCCCCTTATAGAAAAACCTATTTTTGTGTCGTCGACAAACTTTCTCATCATTCCCCCTATACGCCTAGATCTAAATCGTTTATGTAGACCAAAAACAGAAGTGGTCCCAGGACCGAGCCCTGAGGGACCCCGCTTGCGTCACCAACCTCGGTCGACGCTTCCCCATTTACCAATACTCGTTGCTCTCTTCCTGACAACCAGCTACTGATCCACTCGCTCGTCCTACCCTGGATCCCGTGCGCCTCAAGGAACTGCTGTATGCTCAAGATTTCCAGCGTTACATATTTTAGCTACTTCACTTTGACTTCCCGAATCATGTACCAAAATAATATTCGCTCTTGCAACATTTTGTTTAAGGCCTCTGTTTCACCTCCAGTTTAACCCGCAACCTCTTGTGAGGAACGGTATCGAAAGCTTTCGCAAAATCTAAATAGTCGATGTCCACGGGATTCCCCCTATCCCTCTCTTCTGTCACCCATTCATAGAATTGGAGCAAGTTGGTGAATTACGACGCCTCCTAAAGTCGTGCTGAGAGTCCCGGATGAGCGCGTTTCCTTTGAGGAAGTCCAAAATGTGTTCTCCTAGGATGCTCTCCATATCTTCCCCGGAATACTCGGGAGAATTGTTTTGTTTCTTGCAAGTTAGAGTCTGATCCGTGGAGGTTTATTGTGGATGAATCCCTTTGATGTGATTTCCAAAATTTAATGAGCCCCCAAAATGTTGACTCCTTTGGAGATCTGTAGTAGTGAATCGGCCAAATCTGCTCTAAATAAGGATGTAGACGAAAGAGCGATGAGTCTGAACGGGAGACACAGAAACGCGAGGCTGCCTGTTGGGGCGCCATGACCGATCCACTTCACTCCACTAAAGAAAGCCTCTGGTACAATGTACCATTTTCGGAGGAAGAAGTGAAGAACGAGATCCTCAGAATCCGTGATCGGAAGGCTCCAGGAATAGACCAAATCACCAACGAAATCATAAAAGGCTCAGCGGGCATTTTGTCAAAAACATGGACGAGGCTCTTCAATATATGCTTCCTATCAGGCTCTATCCCGGAGAGTTGGAGGACCAGTATCATGCGGGTACTCTACAAAGGAAAGGGAGCCTTAAACGACCCCAACAGCTACAGAGGTATTGCCCTGCTCC